GTGTTCCTCCAACTCCATACTGTGTTGTCTATGTCTTCAACCAGTGGAGAGTTTTCCCTGATTGACACTGACTCCATTTTTGCCAGAGCTGTTTGATGTCACACTCAGTCAAATATGACCTTTATGTCAAGGGTTGTCACTTCTGCAATTCAGCTCTTTTGTCCATGATTGAACTAAGACTTTAATGAGGTCAGGAGCTGAGTGTCACTGGCGGAACCCAAACTGGGCATCAGTGAGCAAGTTATTGTTAAGCAAGTTGATAGCATATTGATGACACTTTCCATCACTTTATTGAAGATCAAAAGAAGACTGTTAGGACAGTAATTGGCTGTGAGGGATTTGTCCTGCTTTTTGTGTACAGGAAAATCCTGGACAATTTTCCAATTTGCTGTGTGGATGATGATGTCATGGCTTTACTGTAGAATTCTACTAAGAGTTTCGGGAGACAATAATCAATCAGCAACTAATCTACAAGTAGTTGATAATCCCTTTAAATAGCATTGGTGAGGAGAGATCCTTTATGCTGCAAAACACATATTCAACTTTGCAAAATCAAGAAAGGTTATTGTTTGGCTGGTGAAGCTCCAAAATTGCAGCACTGACATCAATTTAAGGTTGTACACTGATAGTGTCATAATCTGGTACCTTTACCTATCTGGAACGTTGTGCAATTTACGGCAGAAGTATCCATGTGTACAGCAGATGTCATTTTCATTACCCAACATTGACATTATTGAGCCCAATTGTGCACTTAATCCATATTGCAAAAGGTAGTATAATGGGATAATGTATTTTATTAGGGCATATTCACTGCTAAAAACTTAGTTCAAGATAAAACATTAAAACATCAAGGACATGTTGGTATTGTTGACAAGAAGCATCATCAGTTCTTTAATCCCTTTACCAATATTTTTTTCTCTCATTGTCCACCAACCCAGCTGAGAATGGTATAAGTTTTCAAACTGAAAGCACCTGTGTTTCTAGCAGTTTAGCTTTCATTGTGAAATCTCAATGTGTATTTTGAAAGTTTGCAGAGAAAATCAATGTCTGATGATTAATACATCAACTTTGCGTTTCTGTGGAATAATGTTATTATGTTTAATCATATCAAAATGAGAATCCAAAGAAATAAAAAATTAAAGAATTACACTGCATAATCATTTGAAATTTACATACGTCTAAATTTGTTTGAAAATCTGAAATCTATTAGAACATGGTGCTTGTTGAATTGATGGTTGGTGTTTTAATTTGTCTCCAATTGTAACTTTTTATGCAGAACTTAAAATATTAGAAATAATGAAAGTATTTAGCTCAGATACTACTTTCAACTTTTCTCCATACAAAGAAACATAGTAAATGTGCCAAGATCTGCAGCAATATATATCTGAAATACTGCAAATGATTCCATCAACATGAAGACTGCAAAGAATCCTTTTAAAGTCAGAGTCAACATCTTCTATGGATGCAATGACTATTCCCTCCTTATGTTTCTTTGAAGTTGTCACAGTATCAATGCTTAAGCCAAACTAATATCTGCTGCTCTGAGTGATATTCCTTTACTGTCTTTACTGGAATTTATTTAATGAATTTAAATTAAAAATTAAAACAATAGAAGCAGAATGAGTCACACTCAAAAATTGACAACTTGAGGAAGATTTCCTTCTCTCACCATTTGTCACAAATTTAAGAATGCCTGTATAAATAATTGTTTGGTACCAATTAAACAGGTCTTCCACCAATGTTGTTAAGAAATCCTCAAGCAGTTTAGTAGCCTGTGTGAAGGATGGACAGCTTTTGACTATACATTTTAATGGTGTGTCACTATTGAGAGCTAATACTGTGTGCTGTAATGTGATGCTTCAGTGTGTGTTACAAGCTGAGTGCAGAAAAGAAATAGTTTTACAGATGTGCGAGTAACAAAGTGATGCTGGCTTTTCTATGTCTAAAAGGAGATGGCGCAATAATATGATAATAATAATGACTGCATAATGAAAACAATTTCTGCTCCTCTCTCAAAACTTTATATAATGAGAACTTTCGGAATAAAAGGTTATCTATGAAGACAAGCTTTTTTTGGTGACCATTTGTCTCAGTCATACAGAAGCTTACTTGAACTTATAACTGTGGGTCACTACATATAAGAGTGTTGAACTGGACATTTAAAATATTTGAATGCAAATCCAACGCATGAGTTAGTAACAGTTTGGACAGAAGCTACACAATGTCCTGACATGCCTAACTGCTCCTTCCATTAACAAAATAAGAAACAATTATGCAATAAAGGAGAGTTTTCAAAAAGCAATTTAAGTTATTCAATCATGATATGGATGATGTTGGTACAGCAAGCATTCATTACTCTTTGCTTGTCATCCTGAGGTGGTGGTGAGCCTTTTACTTGAACCTCATCAACTGATATTTTTTGTATGACTGACTAGCTTGCGAGGCTAGTAAAAGTATCACCTAACATTGATCTGATACTCCCATAACATTGGGTGTCATTATGGTAGAAGCTTTCCAACTCCAAAGAATATAAGCGACTGTCTGAAAGCTGCATGTTCATTTTTATCGATCCAAGCCTTTTGTTTTCAATTCCTAAACTGCAATGGTGCAATCTGAACTCATTTCTTCAGACTATCAGTTCAACAAGCCTTGAAATTATGACTCTAGTAATACAGCAACTACACTGCAGTAACTATTCTACCTGTTCATGATCTTATAGCCAAATTTGACACGTGTAAAATTTCATGCATTTTGTACTTCTAAAAAAAGGTGGAAAAACTTGTTTGGTTTGCAAAAATCCCCTCTCAAAATTTTGTATGATTTTGATTAGACTATTTTTTGACTAATATAACACATACTGAATACAAACAAGGAACAAGCACAGGCCACTGGCCTCTTCGAGCCCATTCCACCACTCAATAAGATTATAGCTGAACTAAAACTTCACAATGATCAGCAAATTGATTTAATTCAGAAAATTTCTCTTTGCGCACAGCCAGTCAGTTCAATTGCTACAAAGAATTAATTTTAATTTTCACTAGAACCAGAAGAGGATTTTCAAGCTTAAGTCATTCAACTATTGTGGGGCAAAGGGTGGGAGGATTGGCAGTACAGGAAGGGGAATGGCACAAAATAAATGTTGGAGAGGCAGCGATTTGTTTATACCACACTTAAGTATCTTTTGCATTGAATGATGTCAGAAGTCGGACGGAGCGTAAACCGTTCAGTTTCTACAACTGCCATTGACCCATTTCACTCTGACATGTCATTCGCAAGAGTCATGCTAACTCACTCTTTTCCCATTTCCTCTGGGACAGTTGTTCAATGCAATTGTCATTGATGCGCATTTGAACTACACTCTTATATCTTTGGACATCTCTAATTTTGAATAGAGATTGAAGAAGTACTTCTATATCTCAAATGTTTCTTCTTCTACTCAAAATGAAAGAGCATATTTCCATCCTATACCCTAGAAGAAATTAATCAAACTCTTTCAGTTTTTGCACCAAGATGAAATTCTAAAGTAACCTAGCAGACTCAATTACCATTCAATTTGTTACAGTTCCATGGAATAGCATGATCAGTGACCTCTGTACTCTAAAAATTGCAGGAGTCTCGTGGCTATAAATAAATTAGGAGTTCCAGGTCTGGAATAGAAAGAATTCTGGTATGTTCTTGGAAGAACACAGCATGATCCTCACTCTCAAGTTCCATAAATGACTCTGGATAACACCCTACATTCAAGTTTAATATTCAAGCTTTGAAATACAACATTGGTTAACATACTCAAGTGAGTCAGTAACGATCACCATCAATTCACTAGTGAGGGCAACAAAATCATCAGAGAGAGCAACAAAATAAAAATAAGTTTTCCAAAGTGTTTGTTTATGTATGGTGAAAGGGAGCATCACTCAATCACTCAAAATACTTCTGAACAAAAGAATGAAGGAATGGAGTCCTTTTAAATTGCCCCTTGCTGATATCTGGAGTAATCTGAAATTATGTGAAGCTTAACAAATGAAGAAGGCTTTATATAGTTTCAGTCTTACCTTGATTACCTCTGGTGTCTGTTGAACCGATAGGTGTGAGCCTGTATCTTTATTTACAACAGGCGGTACAGAGTGTGCAGATTTGCAAGGGTCAGAAGCCTGTGATAGTGTATCTTGGAGTATCCGCATTACTTCTGTTTCTCTTGCCAAGATACCCTTACTACTCCCACGTTCAACCAACTCCTGAGCAAAGCCCTCAATACTCTCCAAAATGCGCAAGAGCAAGGCTGCATCATCCTCTTCATTTTTGTTATTTTTAGTTTCATTAGTTCCATTTGTGGAGGAAGGCAATGGCACAGTTTCACTGGGTGACACTTCTAAGTGTTTACTTCCTGAATCAGTGGTCAAGAAATTAACTTGTCCTGATTGTTCACTATAATTCTTCATGTCAATATCATTGTTTCGAGAAGAATCATATTCGTGCCTGGAGTTTATGGTTTGAGAAAAGGATTCTAAATCCATCAGTAGCTTTTCAATGTCCTCTTGTTGCATTGCCTTATCATTTTCTAATTTAGTTTTTGCTCTTGTTATTGAAGGCTCCATGGAATTATGGTTTTTACTTACATTTTTTAAGATGCTGGGAGATTCAGATGTTGGCTGCACACACAAACTATTTTCTCCCAAATTATCACCCATTTCAATAGTATCATCTCCTGCTCTCTTGCAAGTATCAGGAGAGGCCTGTTTTTGAGGCTGAAGATATTTTTCAGCCATTCGAAATCTTAAGTAATCCTTGTCTCTTGATTTCTGCTCCAAAGCCTGATCAATGTCACAATCCTCTTGAATATAAAGAGGCTCCATTGGTATCTTAGAAATACCATCAACATTCCTGGACAGAAATGAATCTTGAGAGGAACAACTGTCAGAGCGATTTAGTGGACTTACATGAGGTAGTACTTGGGATTGAGTTACAGCAGTTGAGCTATGTTGTTGGATACCATTCTCTTGATGACGGCCATTATATGAAGGACCATAATCATTTTCCGTAGGTATCTTACCATTGCCATCGGTAGCTTTATGGACAACTGGAGTATCAACTGGAGGAAGAGGTAGATTGATAGATAAGGATGGCGATGCCTGGACAACATCCTCATATCTGGGTGGTTGATCATTCCCAAATGGAGGATATGGCATTTGCTGCAAACTGTGCAAGCTGTTTACCAGTTCAGCGAGATCATGCTGATTGCCCCGTCCAGATAACCCATGTTCAAGTTCAAAAGGCAACTTCTTCAGGTAGCTTGAGAGTCGTGCCATCACATTTTTGTAGATTAGATCAGAATTATTGGTGGCATCACTGTTATCATTGTTATGGGACTTGCTCTTAATGCATTTCTTAATTATCTCTGTACATTTCTTTAGGTCTTCTGAGCATTTCAACAAAATATCTAAGCAAATCCTTATGTCCTCTCCTGAGTCTGAACTATCTGCTTTGTGTTTTCCTAAAAATTTGGCGATGAAGTTGTCTTCTGAGAGGCTTTGAAGGTATAACTGTGCGGCATTGGTGATATTTTGTTCATGTAATGTCATAAGGTTCGGCTCTTTTTGATCAATGGCTGATTTTTGTGCAAAGCCAAAAGGTGGACAGTTTTCATTGCTGCCAACATGGTTGTATATTATATCAAAGTCAGCGGATTTTCTGCAGGACACATCTGGTTTTACTTTTCTTCCTTTCCTGAAAGTCACATGGCTTGTAGGGCACTTCAGTTTTTCGAATGAAAACTCTTTAATTTTGCCACTGGCCAGATTGATGGCATCACTGGTGATGTCTTTTAGATTGGACATACCTTGTGTACCCATTCCCTTTTTGACTCTGGTAGCACCATGCAGAAGCTGGTGCCCATCATCAGTAGCAATGTCAGCAGAAGCTGCCATGTTTTCAGCAGTTAGAAACCTGTGGGTTAAGTCCTGCACACTTGCCAACCTTGGGTTGGAAGAGGGAAGGGGTGAATGACTCAGCAACTCTGAACAGATGGCATGGTGGATCACATTGCAATCAATGCCAGCAGCATTCAGGAAGGCTCGACAGGACCCATTACAGTAATGTACAGTATGCTGGAAACGTTGATCAATTAAAATGCTGTTATAAGAGTTCACGGTGCTAACAACAAGTCTGTATGTCGCTGCCATTGCGGAGAATTTCGGGGAAGTTTGCTTCCAACGGTGAATCAGAAGGTGACTTACAGCTTTAGTTGCATTAGCCCATTAAATAGATGGCCACGAGAGTTCCAACTGTGTCATTCTCAGCAGAAATCTAAATATCTTTAGTATTTTCCAAGAACAAATCAGGTTGTAACTACTGATGTAGGATCTAAGCACTTGGCTCTCACAAGCCTTTTGAGGCTTGGAATGAGATATGTGGTCAAACTGCAGCTGGTATTACGGTGTTAGTCAAGGCCTATCTGAGTCAGAGGATCACATGTCATTTGACAATGTTATCTGCTTCATTTAGGAAATTGATGCAAAGTTCACGGCAGCCAAGGTGTCTGTATCCATTCTCAATTGGTGGCCATATGGCCTAGACACAGGCCTGTCAAAGCATTGAAATGGCATCACAATCCACAAAGAGACACTCAAGCATAAATAAATCTTGTCAAAGGATGGAGTCACCTACTGAGTTCCAAATGTGTGCAGCAGATGTGCTTCAGGATTCAACAGACGTATTCAATGTTAGCAGAATTTCTTGCGTTTTTCAAGCACCAACCAACTGGAAGTGGGAGAAAAAGAGAAGCAATAATGTGACTTGAGAAATCATGAATTTACATGAGAACAAAAATTGAATTTAGTGTTTCATTACTTAATGATGTCAGTACTAGTCAATCCAAATTTGGCATCAGCTGTGAAGACATCCAATTATCTCGTCACTATTGTAATTGAAATATAATTCTCTAAGTGCACTGATATTGCCAACAGGGAACAGGAGAGATATTTACATTGCTGTAAGTGAAAAATAAAGTGAATATTGTTTTTCGAATAACAAATAATCATGTTGCAAAATACATCATCGAACCACAGTCCAAAATAATAAAGAAAAGATCTCTGAGAATTGTAGACAAAAAGAAATAGGTTTTCACTTCTAATCAGCATTGAGTTATTTCTTCTAATACAGGGCTGGAAATGAAATTATGTGAAACAAAATTGGAAAGGATGTGTCAGTATCTATCTGATAAGACAGAAAATTTTCAAAGCAAATAATACAACAGAAAGGCTCACATTAACACGGAGTTTAATTCATTCAGAAGAGTATCCTCATACTATGAGGATTGAGAGTGCACTTTAGTACAAATTCCCAAAGCAGCATGAAGAACATAAGGCTAGTTTTCAATTCAGAAATATTTTATGTACTGCATAGATTAAGGTCAAATTACAGCAGAAACAGAACCCACCATTAGATGCACAGGCTATATAACATTTGAAAAGGCCAAGTAGGTGATTGTCCTGCACATACAAGGGTTTCCAATGGCTCTGGCAATAAATCTGCTCATCAACTGATTAAAATATACTCTCAAATTCCATTTGTAAGTGATTTGATGTTGGGCCTGATAGCAGTAATACATATTTGATTGAACTGTATGTCAGGAATGGGCTAATTTAATTGGTTAAAATTGGCAAATGAACAAATGTTAGCAATTATGGAAGGAATGATGGCAGGGTTAGCTGGTGTGGACTGTAAAAGGAGTTTAGCAAAAAAGATGCTTGAGGAACAATGTAAACAGTTCATGACTCACTACAAAGTTATATCCCAGTGAGGAGAAAGGATTGTGGGAAAGGGATAAAGCCAAGGAAGTTAAAGATAGGATCAACTTGCAAGAAACAACAAACAATATGGCAAAGATTAGTGATAACCCAGAGTATTGGGAAAGTTTTAATACACCAACAAAAAAAATGACCGAACAATAGAAAGAAAATAAACTTGCAAATAATTTAAAAACTGACAATCATCAGTTTTCTTGAAGACACTAATAACATTTCAAAAGTACCAAATAATTAAGGATGTAAAGGGAGAGAAGAAATGAATACAGTATATCTCTAGAGAAGAAGTTCTATGGAAACTAACAGGACAAAAGACTGATAGGTTTCCTGGGCCTGACGTGTTGCATCCTAGGATATTAAAGGAAGTAACTGCAGAGATAGTGGATGCATTGGTAGTAATCTTCCAAGAATCCATAGATTTTGGAAAAGTCCCAGAGAATTAGAAAACTGCCAATGTAACTCCCTCATTCAAAAAGGCAAGGAGACAAAAACCGGTAACTATAGGCTAGCCATAACAGAGCATTTAGAAATACATCATATAAATAAGCATGGGTCATCATGAAGGAGAAATCATGCCTGACATATATATTAAAATTCTTCATGAAGGTAACATGCAGGTTAGATAAAAGGGAATCAGTAGATGTAATAAGTTTGGAATTCCAAAAGACATTTGATGAGGTACAGCACATTAGACTACTTCATAAGCTAAGAGCCCATAGTGTTGTGGGTAGTATATTAACACTGACAGAAGATTGGCCAACTAATAGAAGATATAGGGTTGGGATAAGGGGACATTTTGAGGATAGCAACCTGTAATGAGTTATATGCCACAGGAATCAGTGCTGGGCCACAATTATTTACAATGGATGTGAATAACTTGGATGACAGAAATGCACATACTATCACCAAGTTAGTGGATATGCAAAAATAGGTGGGAAGCATGCAGTGAAGATAACAGGGTTTACAGAGGAATATACAGGTTAAGTGACTTGGCACAACCTGTAATATGGTTTGAACAGATAGAACATCATATGGAAATGTGTGATGGTATGCAATTTGACAGGAAGAATACAGAAGCTTAGTATTATTTAAATTGGGATAGACTGCAGCACAGAGGGGTTTAGGAGTCCTTGCGCAAAAATCTCCATAATTAGCATAGAAGTTCAGCAAATAATAGTGAAGGCAACTTGAATGTTGGCCTTTGCATCAAAGGAAATGGAGTGTAAAAATAGGAAAGTCTTGCTAAAGATATACAAGGCACCAATTAGATCATATCTAGAATGCTGTGAACAGTTTTGGTTCCATTATCTAAGAAAAGAGATACTGACATTGGACGCAGTGCAGGGAAGGTTCACTCGGTTGTTCCTGGATGTGGAGGGATTGATTATGAGGAGAGGTTGAGAAGGTTGGGCTTGTACTCACTGGAATGACAGACAACCTTATTAAAACATATGTGGTGCTTAGATGGCTTGACAGGATAGGCGCTGTTATTTTCCCAGTGCGACATAATCTCCGAGTAAGGGGGCACCCTGTTAGGACAGAGATGAGGAGGAATTTCTCCTCTTAGAGGGTAGTGAGTCTGTGGAACACTTTAGAGTTCTATAGAGGCTGGGTTTTAGATATACTCAAGGTGGAGATGGATGAATTTTTAATCAATGCGGAAATCAAAGGTTATGGAGATAAAGGCAAAAATGGAGTTGAGGATTCAGATCAGCCATGATTTCATTGAATGGTGGAGCAGGCTCAATCAGCTGAATGGATCTCTGCTCCCACCTCTTATGGTCTAAAACAATACAATACATGCTGCGTCTCTTTGATTATTCTTAGAGTTTTTGCTAACACTAGTGAACTGTCTTAAAATTATGTGCTCATTTTCTTCCACATGTATTTTGATTATTTCTATATCAACTGTTAATTACCCTTCGCAAGCTTCAGGTAATTTCAAAATCACAAATTCCTTCATCTTTCACAATTAGCAACATACAAGCTATTGACACCTGCAATGTTAATTGCTGTTAGCAAACAAAGACTTCAAATTAAAATGAAATAATCAAACACTCTACACTAACACAACCCTACACTACACATATTGTAAATCTGCCCGGCAATTATCAGATCTCAGAACACAGATGATGGATGTATATCAGACTTCCTTCCCTTGGTTTAAGGCACTATCTCAGCCCAGAGCTATGATTTGCAGTCACACCCAGGTATCCATTACTCTCTCCACCTTGAATTTGTCACATACCAACTTGCTATCTTGCTATCTTAAGAGGGTCTAACTCACGCAAAACAGATTTATCACTCCTATAAATGAAGTGGAAGAGATTTCCAATGAATGTGTTAAATGTTCATGAGCTTATATCTTAAATCATAATTTCACAACCCACAAAATTAATATCGGACGCAACACTTTCTAGTGGCTAAATACAGATTGTTTCACCTTAAATGCACAATAATGGGAACTTATTGCAGACTCCTAAGTGCATTGTGTGAGAGAGAACACATAAATAGCATTTCTACTTGTGACAATATGAGTGGCACAGTGGGTTAGCATGACTGCCTTACAGCATTGGGGACCCGGGTTCATTTCTGATCTCGGGCAACAATGTGGAGTTTGCACATTCTCCCTGTGTCTGCATGGGTTTCCTCTCACTGTCCAAAGATGTGCAGGTTACGTGGACTGGCCATGCTAAATTGCCTGTAATGTTCAGGGATATGCAGGCTGGGTGGGTTAGCCATGGGAAATACAGGGTTACAGGGATGGGGGCGTGGGTCTCAGTGGGATGCTCTTAGGAGGCTCAGTGCGGACTCGATGGGTCAAATGGCCTGCTCCCACACTGTAGGGATTCTAAGATCATAGTGTGGTATTAAGAAGAGTGGAGGCTGCTCTAGTATCAAATATTGGAGGCTCTGAGATTAATAGATTATTTTTGAAGGGAAGGGGTTGACAGGGACATGAAAGGAAAGCAAGAACGACTTGCATTTGCAACCTTTTACAGCCTCAGGATGTCATTACCTTTAAAGCTAATTAATGTTGTGAAGTTGGGTAGAGTGCTTCTGGTTTGGAAGGCAGGAGGTTAGAATTTGGTGTATGTAAAACGCTCGGGGAGAAGGCGTTGCATGGTCACTTTAAAAGATGATGTGCTTTTTATATGTTTAGTGATTTAAAAATAATGTCTGTGAGCAGCGGCTTGAAAGTTTGCAAGTACACAGAGAGCACCCAAATTGAAATGTCTGTATCAAAAAGCCACACAGTTTGATGGCCAAGCAGCAGTTTTTACCAAGACAACAAGTTTTGAACTTAACCAATCAATTCAAACCAGACACTTAGGTACCAAAAACCAATTAAATTTAAATCTGATAGTTTTGCCAACATAGGACCAATCCTTTTGTAAGAAATTGATATGTCGTCAAGGGTATAAAAGAAGGGGCAGTTGGGCAAAGACAAGAGAGCTGACTGCCACCTACCAGAGTTAACAGCCCTCAGCTCTCAAGACAGAATCACTGGCTCTCACAGACTCCTCTAAGACTTACGGAAAGCACCATCTAAAGAACAAAGTTACCCAAGGCATAACTAGTTAACATTCCTGAGAGAAGAATCAATGGAAAAGGCACAGAGCATTCCAGAAGACATGTAACCTGGCTGTAATTTCGAGAGACTAAGTTCTATTTTCTTAATTTTATTTTATATAAGTGCAATTTGTATTTACTGGAACAGCATCCTATTAGAGTCAATTTTTATTTGGGAATAGTAGTTAGAAGGGATTTATTCAGTTTATTAATGGTTTAGTTAATTTATTCACTGTTAGAGTTAGGTAAATAAATTGTTATTTGTTTTATTTAACCACTCAAAGTTGCTGAAAGGCAGGTTACACCACTTTTCACACTCCTTTTACAGATTATAGGGTGACGTGTTCCTCTTTGAGTGTTTTGGTTTTAGTTCTCAGTGGC